TGCTGCTTGGCAGAGCTGGGCGGGAGTCCTGTGCACCTGCCACAGCACATTTTCCTCTGCACCTCATTAGCAGACCCAAATACCTTGTAAAAAACACATTTGAGATGAATCCGTATAAGCACTGCTGCATGGTGGTTCTGGTTTAGGCCACATGAAAGTGTAAAGCAAGGAAAATGTCATAACCCGAGAGCAGCGTCCAGGTTTTTGGCATGATTGCCAAATGTTTGTACAGCTGTTTTACATTCAGCTGTGCTAAATCGGAAATCTAGGGAAGATGTAAGCTGCATGCTTAACTGAAAGTAAAGTATATGTTGAAGTGCAGTCAAATGTTGTTAATTGCTCATGTATTATACACTTAAATATTTAAATGGTATACTGCCAGAATGCAAAGTGTTGCCCATTTGCATCAGTGAAATTGTTGATCCGGTAAAGTGGGTCCAGGTATGACAGATAGTATCCTAACATTGTCTGTACCAATAGGTCGTAGTATACCTGGGTAAATAGATCTGGTGTGTTACTCAAACGAAAATCAGTAACACACAGTAACAGTTAACTGTTGGGCCAAGCATGTCTTTCTGATGTTTGCCTGCTCGAGTGCTGACAAGATCTGAAATCAACTTTTCCCATATCTCAAGTGTCATTAGACTCTGTAGTGAAATGCTTCCTCCTCTTTCTGATTCCATTTGTACCATTTATATAATGTTTTGCCTGCAAATTAAATTTACAGTTGTGCATGTATTAAAAAAAAAAGGCAACTCAGCAATTAAGAGGGTATTGCAATCATTTTTTAATGTTGCAAAGCCTTTTGGCAAGCACACTGCTCTAACAATAGCAGCTCTTCAGAAAATGTTAGCAACTCCATTAGAGGAAGAAAAAAATAGCGAAGATTTGTGAGCTGCAAGGGTTGCAGGTTGGGTGAGATGTTTACATTTACTCTGATTGTGTGACAGTGGATGCATTTGCATCAGTCATACGGAGCACCCCACACAGGCTGCAGTTTTCAGGTTGGAAGAAACAATAAGGTAGATGCATTTCTTTGTTTCATTACAAATTAGATTTTTATTCAGAGAAGATACATCTATGGTGCCTTTTCTCTGTCCTTACTTCTGCTTCCAAATTTAGCCTAAATTATGTCAGATTATTTTGTTCCTAACTTTTCCAGTAGTCTGCGTTTGGTTTATCTTCCTTGAGAGGGCAAAACAGAATTACAAGGAGCTCTCTGCTGGTAAGGGCCCACTGCTGCCCTAAGGGGTTTGTATTAGGCCTAAACCTGCTGTTACTGCATCTTGTGGATAAATATGTTGTTCATATCAGTGCAGGACTGAAGATGAAGGTGATCAGTTGCTTGTTTTACACTTCTTTGGCCAAGTCTGGCTAGAGAAGGCAACATGGTGAAGGGTTTTGAGGGTTTTCCGAGATGAATGGAACAGAGATTGACATCTCTGTATTTTATTTCCTAAAACTATGTGCTAAAGATACCCAATATTCATGTGTTATGTTTTCAAAGCAAATATAGTACTTCTACCTCCTCTTAAACTGTAGCAGGTCATTCAGACCAGGCTGACAATCTGTATGTATGTATGTGCTTCATGTGGTGAAGTATGTTTGAAAAAAAGGGATAATACTTTAAGGAAATACTTCAAATTCAACTCCCAATAAATTAATTGTAGTAAGTACGTGTTCACTTTTGTTTGACCAGCTGTCATAGAATCACAGAAAGAAAATGAGGGAACGAGCTGTTAGATGGCTTGTTCCTCCTTATATCACAATCCTTATGTGTGGATTATGTTTAGGTATTTTTGATTTTTTTTTACTAATTACATTTAACATCTTGTCTTTGCTCTTTTTAAATGTACTGAGATGAAGTCCTTAGAGAGAGATTCCTGTAGTATTGGTGTATTCCCTTCCAAGTATTTTTAATAGAAGTAAATTCCTCCCTTTAAACATGGGAGGTAGTTCTTTCTTTGATCTTCTCTTGGCTCTTGATTTGTTCTCCTCTTGTTTGATCCTGAGCTACATGTAGTTTGTTTTTTCCTAGTACTACCAGAAAATCATTCTCACAGCTCTCCTTTCAGAAAAGAGGCAAGAGATTTTCAGGTTTTATTTCTTGAACGGGGAGCGGCAGGAGGGAACAGGGAAGGGGAGAGGGGCAAAAAGGAGAGTATATATCTGTGGGCATAAGTTCAGTAAAAAGTCTTATAGACTGACATTAGCAATGCCACAATGTATATGACTTGGAAATCTAAGAAAGATTATGAGATTGTATTGTCTTTCCCTTTGAGCACCACTTCATATATGAAAACCTCTCTTTTACCAGTCTGAGACTGTCTCACACATACGCATGCGCATTAGGACAGGCAGGCACATACTGACAAGTCTGGTTTAAACACGCAGTTTTGTAATAAATATATCTAAAAATTGTGCATTCTCTTTTCTTTGATAAACACTTGGTGGTGGTTCAGTCTTTGTCAAGCATATGGTTCTTTACAGCAGGCGTCTTCAGAGCGCTGCCTTTGGGGAATGCTGCTGAGACGGGAATAGCTCCGGGTGTCAGCGGTTGTCTGTGCCAACTGCTTGATCAGCTGTGATCTGCTTTAATAATGTAAATCAGATATAAGAACCCAAGCTCTTGTGAGATTCACCGTGACCAATGGATGAGAGTAGAGAGAGCCATCACACCTGCTTCTCCAGTGCTGCGTAGAATCGATCGGTGTCCTTAGTTACCAACTGGAGACCTCTGCTTTTAAAACTTCTGTTGTAGCCTTTTTAAAATCAGTGCGGCTATAGATGTAACAGGAATCTTGGTTTTGCTTTTCTTTGTGTCATCAGCATTTGCAGTAACAGAAAAAGAAAATTCTGGCATAATTCAAGCAAATATTTAGATGCGGTATATACTCTGTATTCAGGTGCACTTCTCACCGATCCCATGTAGCCGGCGCACTCAGCTGTGTCACTATCTGTCTCTCTTAAGCCTGCATCTCCTTTACTTTCTGACATGCGATAGGATGGCAGGAGCTGTATTCAAGTCAGCCTGGATTTCTGGGTGCTACTGCTTCTGCTGCTCAATTTGAGAGTTGTTGTGGCTCATGTCCGGCTCCTTGTTGATTCTCTTCAGTTGTTCACAGATAAAATGAAGCCTATTGTGATAGTCTAGGCATACATATTGCCAGCTTACATATAATTCAGCATTCCCCTTTGGGTCCTCTTCCACCCCTGGAACAGTAGCCTGCTGTAATCCATGGAACATCTGCCTTAGTCACCACTTCAAGCTAAAGACTTCTGCAGGATTCAAAATGAGATCAACCCTACATTCCTAGAGCACAGTTTCCATCAAAGAAAGAAGGTGGAACACCTTGGCGTGCTTTGGTCAGTCTTCTCAGATGAGGGTGCTTCCTAGGAATAAGGCACTTTTACAACCTGCTGGAACATTTGGAGTGCACGGGAAATGCTGCTTTCCAACCAAAGCTGTGAAGTTCTTGCACAGCTGTGGTTCATGTGTGGAAAAACCCCACACCACCACCAGAAGCCTTTAACTGACCTGAGCAGCTTAGTGTTGGTATTCCAAGGGAAATGGATGCAGTAGCGGAAGATCTTGAATGAACAGGTGCTAGCTTACTCTTCATTTTTGGATCAACTACACAGACACTGTTTGATAACCTTCTCAAAAATTGCATGCCATGCACCTCCTCAGATTTACTCCGGCCTTCTGGCTTGTTTCACCATCTGTGTGGATCGCCTCACTCAGATCTTGTAAGCATGGGGATGTTAATAGAGGACACAGGCTTAGCTAGCGTTTGTTTAGGATTTTCACTACAGTTTCAGATTTTGCTTAATTCTACTTTATAATTTTACTGGGGATCGGATCCTCGTATGTTGCCAGTTTAACTAATTTCCATGTGGCACGGTATCAGATATTTCACAGAAATGGAGGTAGATTTGATTTTCCTTATTCTTCTCCCTTTCTTTAATCTGACCCTTATGTTCATCAGGTACGGACCCTACTACTGCTTTTTCTTGGTAGGCGGTAAAAGATATTTTGCTATCTAATTTCAATTACCTTTCCGGGGTGGAACCCAGTTTATTCCAGCTCCCGGTAAAACATACCTTCTTTCCCAACAAGTTTTTTTTCCTCTTACTTGGTGTTTGGCCCTCTATTTTAATATGTATTTAATATGGGGGTTTTGGTCATGTAAGGTATGCTTGGAGCCATGGCCTGAAAGTTCCCCCACATTTATGCAAAATGTTCCAGACAGTTTTGTACCTTTGCCTTCAAGAAACTCCAGTCCTCCTCTCTTCTCAAGACCTCTGCCAGTTGACTTCATTAAGTAGCCTTCCTAACTTTTCATAATTAAGCCAAATTAAAAAAAAAATCAATATTTAAATTTTTCAGGTAAATGTTGTTAATAGAGCCGCAAGCTTACTGTTCTTAAAAAAATTCCTCTCTTTCTCTAGCTCACTTTCCACCTATGAGAGACTTTTATAAAACAAATGAAAAATTGAAACCCCTGGAAACTAGTCCTTCTTGCCCTGAAGGCTGCTAAAATTATCAGAATTATTCAAGCAGCCTTCACTGTTGACAGAAGTTTTTGTTTGTTTTATATAGCTACCGTATTTCATTTAGAAGCTACTAAAAATATAATCATCTTAGACACCATCTGCTTGAAATGACAGTGCATACTAGGGCTAAATTTTGAAACTTTTTTTCCTTTGTTCATTATCTCTCCTAAAAGTGGTTACATGACAAACTCAGTATTCACTGCGAAGGGTTTCTTTTCTGAATTAATTTTCTACTTAACATCCAATGTGCACACAACCATTTCCATCAAGTATTCATACATTACTTATTGGCTAACTCTTCTTCTGGGAAACCACAGTGGAAAAGTAGGCACAGCCTTGTTTTCATATGTAAATACCAGATTCATCAGAACAATTAACTGTACCTTTGATGAAGGGACCTTTTACTTTTGCCCCCTCATTGCCTCTTCTGGTCTGGATTCCAGGGCCAGAGGAAGAAGAACCTGAGCTGGTTGTCAGGCGCCATGGTGTACTGCTGGACTTGGCGGGCTTTTGGTTTGTTCGTTTTCTGTTCAAGTAATACACGTATTATGAAGAAGGAAATTTCCTTTGGGAGAGAATTTGGTGAGAGAAGTTCCAGCACTTTGAAATATAGTTATTTGGTGTAAAACAACTCATTTCACATGTTCCTCCATGTTGTCTTGTCATACAAGCTGGTTTTTTCCGGTATTTTGTATCCTCTCCAAAATACCAACACCTGCACTTGGCATCTAGGCTTGAAAATGAGAATAAATTAGCAATGGAGCTAGGATAATTCATTTGTCTTCAGTAAGATTGGTGGGTTGGTTGGGGTTTTGTTTTAAAATATTTTCTGGAAGATGCCTCTGGTTGGTTGAGAGCCATGTATATAGGAGGCAGGTCTACTGTGTTTGAAGAACCTGTTAACGTGTTAACATGGTTAACTGTAAGAAAGCAAGTACAAGAGGAAGCTAACACATCAAATAACATTGTTTCTATCATCTCTGTCAATTTAGGATTTGTTTATGGGTTTGTACTACCCATTCTTAAACAGAAATAAGTGCTTAACCAAGAATCACTTCCTTTTCACCTGTTAACAGAGTCATAGTAACCTGGCATCCATAGAAAATGTGGTGTTTGTCATCTTCAGCTGCCGAAGTTTCTAGCCTTCCCTGATACCTTTTACAACGTTGTCTGACTTTTCAAAATAACAATTCAATGTTAAGATCTTCCTGAACATATGCAGAAGTTCTCTTGTAGAAGCTTCCTACCTGTCTATATCATCTCAAGATTCATTGGAATAGTCCGTATGTGATTTATTATTACATCTTCATGGTTTCTTTGTATTAAACACTTAATGTGAAACCTAATATTCATGAGTTAACACCTAATTTGTCAGAAATAGCCAATGAAATTCTGAATGTATTTTTTTACATCTCCTATTTATATTCTGTATCTTCATAAATATGCGACTGTAATGACAGCTCTCAGTGTGGCAAACATCCCATATGAGAAGAGAACAGACAATACCTCTGTCCTGTAGTAATTCATTGTTATTGTAAAATGAATCTTGTTTCAATGACACATCTTGGAGAACTCTTGTGCTTTAAGTGTGAGATGCCTGATTTTACTTGAGACAGACTGCAGAGCTACTGTAAGCTTTACTCAAACACAGGTGAATATTCCCAGTGACATACATACACTTGGCCTCAGTGCAGCAGAATCCCCATAATTTGGGAAGGAAACTAATGATCAGGAATATTTATTTCAAATATTATAGCTGGACTCTGCAACAGCTCTTGTGGGTTTTTTTGGAAATGAGCTCCCGGGCGATGGTGGTAACTGCAACAGAGAACCTGCAGAAGACCTACAACCTTTTTCACGTCACCTCTTTCCCCTGATTTCCCTCTATTACCTTGTACGCGTAGTGTTAGATGGAAGATGGTGAAAATATTTATATGGCAAAAAAAAAAAATCGCTCTTACGGGAAAGGCATGTGAGAATTAAGTATCTTATGCAGAGTGGCTGTGTGCATGTCTGTCTCTTGGGACACTAAGTCCAAAGCCATCTTCATGAATGATTTTACCCTTAAACACAGAGGGGAAAAATTTACCTGAAGTGACAGATTGATTTGAAGTTCAGTTCTGGAAGCTGCAGAATACCTGCTGAGAGTTGTTCAACACGCTTGGATTCAGTTGCTTCATTTGATGCTAATGGTGTTTCATACTTTGTTGGATTAAAGAAAAGTGCAAAGAACAAGTCTTTGTGTTTGCCTAGCTGCTTTAGATTGAGTAGTATGACTGAAGAGTTAAAAGTAATCCAATGTATAAGTGTGTGTTGCATAATTGTAAAATTATCAGCCAGAATCACAGGGCTGAGGTTGGAAGGGACTGCTGGAGGTCATCTGGTCCATCCCCCCTGCTCAAGGTGGGCGAGAACTGTATAATAGTTTTACACTGAGCATGGACCGTATCTGGAACAAATAAACCAAAAGACAAAGTAGGTCATTGCTTTCTGTATAAGAGCAATTTATATCAAATAAAGAGTACAGTAAGTAAAAACGACTTTTTGACAAACTAGCATTTCATAGCAAACCATTTGTGGTTCTGATTCTAGCCTCTATATTTTAATTTTAATAGAGAAAGTATAATGGTATGAGCATGTATCTTCTTTCTTATATTAAGATTTCATATAGCCATTTTTATTTAGGAAACTTCAGCAGTTAGAGACTTAATTCCATAAAGTTATTTACTGTAATTATATTTACATAACCTTTTTTTTTTCAGAGAAATGCAGTTTAAAATGAAAAATAGCTTCATATTTGATTTGGTTGCTTTGACTACAATGGGAGAAAAAAATCAAGATTTTACTTAGACATGTCTTTCTTCTTTGTTAGCCCAACTGTCGCCACATTTATCCACTACTATCAGAATTTCTGATGAATCTTTCGTGTTTGTTTTCACACAGAGAGTTTGGATGGCGAGATCCAGAGCTTCCAGAAGTTATACAGATGTTACAGCATCAGTTTCCCTCAGTACAGTCCAATGCTGCAGCCTACTTACAACACCTCTGTTTCGGAGACAATAAAATAAAAGCAGAGGTAAGATTTATGAACCCTTTTTTGAACAGCAGTGCCGTCTGCCATTTATCATCACCAATTATTTATATGTACTTTAAAAAGAGTTACAAAAGAAATCACGTGTGTATGTCTGGACCCATTTTACGCAAGCTTTTGCTGTAGTCATTTCTTACCATTAGAGGAAGAAAAAATGCATAAAATATTACTGTCATCTTTTTTTGGTTGGTTGCTTTTGAATATTTTGATTTACTGTATACCATTTAAACACTGTATCAGTAGTTGTTCAGTAAACAGCTAGTCTTGGTCCCACTGAAGCATACAGGCATTTCCTTGGGATTTTCAAAGATAAATATTTGGACACTAAATACAAACACAGAAGATGAAAATTAAGCAAAAGGATTCTGAATCAAAGCCTGCTTTAGTGTATAGTTGCATGAATAGAGTTTAATTTCACTGGCTTTGCAGCTTGAACGATGATTGTTGGTCTATGATCTTGAAATTCAGCACAGATTGTATCTAGAATGTAATTCAAACAGCAATATAGACTTTGTTCTGTACCTGTAGCTGATCGGTACTTCTTGCTTGCTTGTTCCCTGTGGTTAATGGGACCAGTTCAGCTTTTGGCACAAGTTAAAACAGAAGGAAGGCAGCTCTGAGGGATCTTACGAACACACAGGAGTCAATTAAAATTGAATGAGTGAAGCTGTTAGCAGCCCCAGCTGCCTCCCCTGGCTCTCTCAGAGATACTGCTAGTCAGGGACATGCGGTGTGCACATAAATCTGTGCCTGTACTGGCATCCTTTAGCCTGGTATGTAAAGGTAAACTGAGATCAGGATCTGCTGTTGCTTATTTGTCAGAGCTGTGCAGTGATGCTGGCTTGCTACCGCTTCATTATCCTCAGCACACACCACTCCGTGGGTCTATCCGGCTATAGCAGCTTTCCCTTCTAGGCTTGTTCACGCTGAGGAAATTCCCAAGTGAGTAAGTAAGTATGTGGTCTGCTGGCACTGGCAGAACTGCTCTGGTTGCGTACATCACCGCAAGCATCTTAGAAATAATAATAAAAAAATATTTACATGAATGTTAAAATGAAGGATGTTTGTGCACTGGAAAAGAGAACTCTGTTACAGGTATTGCTGAAAATTTTAACTGCACACTCTCCCCATGCTCTTTTTTCATCCTTATTCACAAATTAGTTTTTCAATAAAAGAATTGATTAATCTCTGAGAAAGGCAGTTAAATGATTAGAGCAATTTATTCAGTGTACAATCTGTGCTTCCTCCTGTTAGCCATAGATTGAGAGCCCTTAGGTAGCTATCGCATTTGAGAGAAGATGGTTTGATTTTTCGTTGCTAACCATTTAGGGAAAAAGAAGACTGATTGTTGTTGATCTAACCTGTCCCACTAGGACATCAGCCTTTGTAAGCTTCAGGCTTGCAAGCTGGAAGGGCGAAGGTAAGTGTATAAAACAGTAGAGCACCAGGCAGTTCTCTGAGCTACTTCTCTGAAAAAGGATAACAGATAAAATGAGGATTTCCCCCCTTCATTTGTTTTGATTCAGGGTTTTGATATATTCCTCACTCTATAATACGTAAACTGTCTTTGGAAACAAGCCTAAAATACTTTTTTTTTTTTTTAAACAGTCCACTTGATAATATGCTTTCAGACTTCTGATACTGTGGATTTTTCTAAGACAGAAAATGAGAAGTATTGTGTACTTTTCTAATGCTTTGTGAGGCTTTTAGACTAGAGCATCCAATGTTAGCAAACTATTTTATCTCTGTATCTATCTATCTATCTATCTACCAACCTATAGTATTTAATGTAAGTCCTGTTGTGTTTAGGCCATGATTCAGCAGAGCACTTGAGTTTCTGTGTTTGTTTATTGGAATCAGGGTCTACCTGAAGCTCATCTGCTTGAGCTCTCCACTGAATAAGAATTTCTTGATGATCCTTTTGTGTGAGGAGTTCAAAATCCTCTTGATAATGGGATATCACAGCAGATATCCCAGATTCTTGCTAGGCTTATGCCCGGCCAGAGAAACGTGAGTGGTGCTGATGAACCCACCTGGGACAGCTCGCGTGCTGTTAAAGATGTGTCTGAATTATGACTTGAACTAAAACCTAAATAATAGAACGTGATATCAAAATTCACTCTTCTGCAGAGTATTTGTGTTGCAGTTGTGTGTTGTGGCCAGTCCCCCCCTGTCTAGGAGCAACCGCATTTAATATCCGATTCCTTCTTCATGGAAAGCAGAGTGGTAGTTCTGCCATACACGGTCACAGGGAAACACACCAGCTTGGACACAAGGTGCAGGGAAAAGAAGCACTAGGACACATCCTGATCTTCATTTTCCGTGCAGCCTCTTCTTAAAGTAATAGTTACAAATTTTGGAAGTCCAGTTGTAAGTTTGAGATTACAAAGCTGAAAAATTCCAATTGTTTCTAAGCACAGACAACTGTGCTCTTTTACCAAATGCCTAGCTTCAACATAGCAAATGACAGCTGTCTTGGTGGTCTTTCAAATCCTGGAGAAAGGAAAAACATAAGATTGTATAAGTTAAGAAAACTGCTGTTATTTCATACGCCTGACAGGCACTGAGGAAAAAGCAAATTGAATTTATTAAGTAATTTGTTAAGCGTTAATGTGTAATATGCACTTGAACATACACACACACACAGAATGAATAATATTGTGCAACAGTTTATTTACTAGTTGCATTGAATTTGAAATGTAATGCAGTTGTTAAAGTTTCAACTCTGGAGTTATCTGACAGAAAAAAATAACAGTCATTTACCTTTATCACTAACGAACATCAAATTGTCACACTGCAATTAATGGCTATTTTATCCAGAATTTCTGGAAATAACTGTCCTGAAATACTTTTTTTGATTCTTTTAAGCATGATTTATATGGTATTGCCTACCAAAAAGGTGAATAATGATCTTTCCTCCAATCCTGACCATTCTTTCCATCTTCTAGTTTTGTTTTTGTAATAGTGGTAAACTTGTCTTACTCTCATAAGAGTTTAGTGGGATTTGTATGGAATTCTTCCTCATATACTTGGTGGGACAAAGGCCTTTATATTCCTTCTGAGTAGAACAGTGTCAACTAAAATTTAGACAGAGAATAGCAGCTATGCCTATATGCATTTCTGACATTCCTGACACCTTTTATGGTTCTACCATTACGTTTTTCTCTTCTAAAATATTTTCATTTCTGTGGCTGATGTGTGGAACACCGCCCCTTGCTTCCTCCGTCCTCCCCATGAAAAGAAATACTCTATAGAAGACAACTATGAGAAAGAATTCAGTCAGAAACATTTGAAGTATGGCTAGGGAAACGAGAGATCTTTTTCCCTTCGTGACCGTGTTCTTTACGTTATGTGTTATTTCTAAAACACGTGTTGATCACAGACGTCCTTCTGAACTCTAAATGTACCTTTATTGCTACATAAACACCCTGCTCAGTCTTTTATGCAGCAATTCTCTCAGACCAATGAGGTCTGCAAATGCCCTTCTCTAACTCACAGGACTTTCAAACAAAGTTGGTAACTGTTTATATGAAGATACTCCAGGCTGGCTAGTAAGGTGTCAGAAGTCATTTATTTTTTCACAAAAAACTGCTGGAGTGAATTATGGTTTATATTTCTGGTATAATTTTTATTTTTCCTGTTCCAGCCCTGAACATACCAGTACGGCGATAGGTAAATGTGATCAACACTGACCGCTGATGAAGATGGCGGTGTTATTTCTTGCTGATGCTGCCACTTCTATGCTGCTCAAAACCATTCAGTGCTAGTCTTTAGTCAAAAGTGTGATTGTAACTGCTGCTCTTTCTTACCTAAAAGTTTTCCTCAAGTGCTACTTCTGAGTCTCCTGACGTATTGCTGGCTGCAAGACAGGCACTACATCTGCTGTCAGAAGTGCTTCTCATTCTCTACCTTTATTCCTTGTGCTTGGTGCTTACATGGTGCAACAGATATTAGAATGGAGTTGAAGAAATTGTATTATTTTTGCTAATATCTGATGGTTGGATTTTTCATCGCCCATTGAGCAGTTACCAGTCCTCACTGAAGATATCACATATGTGAAAGGGGAAATAGGGAGGCAGAAGGCTAAATTTTGTAAAAATTACTAGGCAGCCCGTTACAATTAGGCATAATAATTCTGAAATTCAGAATCTCAGAATACTTTAGGGATTCATTATATAAATTATTCTTTCATTGATGACAGCAAAGAATGCAACTAAAAGGCAAAAGGAAAGGAGGAAAGAAGTTTTGCTCAGCTATTTGAAGGTGAATGAAAAGTTGATCGGGCAAAAGAGCACAAGAAGGCCCTTTCAGATGGCATTTTCTCCTTAGGAGAGGGCTCTTACACCAACAATGGTGGGACTGTGTGCAGAGGCAGAGTAGCTGGTCCTGGGTGCCAAGAAGGAACAGGCAGGGGATATAGGAAAAGAGAAGCGTTTTAAAATACTCAGCAGAGACCATTTCTTTAAAAGAGCACATTCTATTAAACACAGGATTCATTCTTCCGCAGCAATTTTTCTTCCTATAATCACAGCTTACTCCTTTGTATGAGGTCACCATATAAAAGGATTGAATTGTGCAGTTTCACACGCCAACACCATTTTGCTCTCATGGAAAATGGCAGCCTGCCATCAGCTGCAAAGGTGTAACAGGTCACTCGGGGGTTTTGGCACCAATGATTCCTTTCTGCAAGCTAGGAAATTAATTTTTGCCATCAAAACCACAGCACTTGAGGTTCTCATCTCAGGAAAATCACGCAAAGATGCCAAATAAAAGAACAGTAACTACTTCACTGTCCTGCCTGAAGCATTCCCTTGCAAACTTAATAAACTTCGCTGGATCAGATAGTTTCCTCTTTATCTTGGAGAGCATTCCCATATACTCACTTCAGACAGTCTTAGAAAAAAACTATCAGTCCAGATGTTATTGCATGGTGTTCTAAAAAAATGAGTGATTGCACACTGAAAGCAATTGTTTTCCAAACTTGC